TTAGGGCATTTCACCTTGTCGGCTATATTTATCGTCACCGACTTATCGCATGGTTGGCAAGGGAAAGGTGCATAACACTATGGGAGACTAACTTCACCATAAACCGCTCCCTTCTGGATATTTGAAAGTATCAATTGATATTGCGTTAGAGGGGGGTGCGTTGTTGCCTATACCAGATGCTGTTTCAGACGCAACAGTGGTGGGAGACGCAATAGGAGCGTATGTTGCATGGCTGGCAAATCTCATTTTCATAGATGATGAGGTATGTTAAACACCATTATGAACCTTGTAATATTCAAATGTTTTACGACCCATAGATGAAAGTTATTCTTACATTTACATTTTCTTATTTACATAATAATCTTAGACTCTTACAAAATCCAAATCAAAAGATAAGGGAATCATTGTGTGGGAAACCGATTCAGCTGCATCAAAGAAACAGGTACTACTACAGTTACATGATTATCTTATTATACATTAATTATTGAACTTGTATGTCTTTTAGGTTCATGATCAACAATTGCAACAAGTCAGCAAGGGTAAGATGCCTGAATCTTCCAAGGTGCTCAACAAAAAAAGGTCGAGCCAAAAAAAGCATATGTTCCTCGATTTAGGTTGTGCCTTGAAACATATGTAGGAACAACAGATGTGACTGAGGGTGGCATCCGTCAAATACCTATGGAGTAAGGTATTTTTGGTTTTGAATATACCGAAACAATTGCTAAGGAGGATTTGGACCAGGTTTTCCAACATTCTGAATTGGGCGTCGGTGTTATGCATTCCTACATCAGGTACTCTGATCCATCTTAATTAAATAATTGAACATTTTAAAATTTTCTCATTTAACTGAATATTCTAATGTTGATTATGTTTTTCTTTTAGGCTCTTGTATGACAAGTTGTTGGTCCCGCATGATTTGACTTCCATATTCACATTCTTATCTGTTAGCTGTATCAACTCACGGGAAATAGATCACACACTAGATGTAGTCAAAGATTACATAGTCCAAAGATTTATGGCCGCGACTACAGAGAAGTTGTTCTTGTTGCCATATAATACTGGCCATGGGTATGACTTCATTCTAAATTCATTTATTATAATTATTCGATTTTTGCCATTCTATATAGCATTTCCGTTTAAATTGTTGTCTTATTTTATAGTGGACACTGGTTGTTGGTCGCGATTAATCTGATGAAAGAAATAGTGTATTATTTGGATTCATTGGACGACGATCAAACAAAATACCCTGATATGAAGAATATGATTGATACGTAAGTGATGAGATATATTGTTCTGAATAATTATATATCTTTATTTATTATGTGGCATTATTCTAAATATGCGTTTATATTATGTTAGAGCTATACAAATATTCAGAGCACAAAGACAAGCAACAGTGCCAAAAAGCAAGGCTAACAACATTAGCTGGATCAGAGTGTAGGTATATTTTCTCATTTTTGACTGTTATAGTGGTCATACTTGATAAAATTATGTAAACTATATATCCTGATAAATGTTCGTTTGTTTTTTCCATTTACAGTGTCCTCGTCAGCGCAATGGGATTGATTGCGGATATTTTGTATTGCGCTTTATGAAGGAAATTATTCATTCTGGTTAAATGGAGATTCCAATCATGGCATGGATCAATTCATAAATTATATGATTCATTTTGATAATTAACCGATGTTTCATCTGAGTAATTAGTTTTAAAACTAAATCGTGCATGTTCTGTTATATTATGTAATACTTTGATGAATTCAAGTGCGGTACTTACTCGAACGCAGGACTGGAAGAAATAAAAGAGGAATTGTGTCAATTTATTCTTGAGTTGAGAATTGTATAAGGTATATGTATCATCCAATATTGATGTGGGATAATAACATTTTTGGAAGTCGTATATATTTGTAAAGTTAACGAATTTGTAATTATATGTAAATTGTCTGTATTTATGATGTTGTAATTCTGAGGATCGGATTGTGTTGTAATATATTTAAGCAGGTTTATGTGTATTAAAATGATTATGGGCAAAGTGATGAATTACAATGTATACTTGTCGCGGTGAAATTTGGATACCAAACTATTGATTAGTTTGAATCTTTAATTCATTTTGCAACCGAACTTTGATTTGTCCAATGGAAGGGATAAAGATCGAAATTCCCACGATGCAATGCAAATGCAAGCTAGAGAGTTATAGGTTCGGGGGTTGGTTAAACTCAGGGAAGGTACTAGCATCCTAAGTTTCTGTAGTACTCTACAAGAACCTCTTGTTTTATGTTTGTTTTATTGCTAAATGTTTATCTGCTTAAAGGTTAAAGACCTAGGGGTTTATTTCTAAGTATACTCGATAAGATATCGCATCTTATGCCTACATATCCTTACGGGAGTGAAATCAGAGTATCTGTAGTTCCCCTAAAGGGTTATAGGAGTTCTTTGACTGTGGTCAAAGTTCCTACGGGTTTAGGGTAGTTGTTTGATTGATTTTAGGAGAAGAGATGTGTCTTCATTTTAAGAGAGATTTAACCGCCACAAGTTGTAGGAAAATAGTCTTTGCATCGTCTTAAGAAAAGGGCTTAAGTACTCGGATTGTTTGACGAGTATGCCTTTATCTCTCTTAGGGCAAAGTCCCTACGGCTTGATTGTATTGTTGTGGGAGTGGAGATTCTATCTCGCTTAAGATGATTTGGCATCTTTCTCTAATGTGTTTGAATGTATTGTTTTGAATTGATTGTATTGTGTTTATTGTTTTCCTATGTTGTAAAATAAAGAACAGTCCTTCCTATAGGGTAGGATCTATCTTAGGAGATCGACTTGAATGGGATCAAGGATCAAGGGGGATATGATGCGAATGATATGCACTACACACGATTGTTGAATCATGTGTAGGGTTTTCCTTTGGACGGATGCGATGCAATAATATAAATGCGATAATGTAAATAACTGGAAGGTAAATTGCGGAAAAGTAAACCATACACGTACGCATGAAAGCGCTAAGTGAGTGTGCGAGTTGTGGATAGATAAAAGCGGAAATAATAAAGCGTACGCATGAAAGCGCTAGGTGTACAAGTGTGTTGTGTCGTGAAGTGAGTATGCACGATTAATTTATATTTTACGCTGTGAGTTGATTTTAATTGGTTAAATTGATTTTAGTAAAAAGGTTATTGTCACATTTAGAAGTTAATTTACTAAAAAGAGTTTCTAGTACAAAAGTGTAGTTTTTTAACAATTGTTATTTAAATTATAGAATGACCTTATTATACAAAGTTATTTCTTACTTAAGTTGTTATAAAAAATGTTTTATTTATTATTATTTTATAATAAAACAAATTAGTTAAATGTGGGACCGATTAATTAAAAGTTGATGGCTAAATAATTTATAAAAAAAAGGTTTTTTATTAAGATAAAAAGTTAAATATATTAATTAAATAAAAAGTGGACTGACCAATTTATAAAATAAATACTTAGGCCTAAGAAACTATAATTAAAATTAATAATGGAATTGATTATCAAAATAAAGAAATGATTAGATAAACAATTACTAAATGTGGTGAATTTAATACTAATTGATTAAATAATTTAGAAAACAGAACTAATTATAGGATTAATAGTTATTTTAAAAAGGTTAATTAGTAAATGTTTAATTAAAAATTATTAGTTAGTATTGATTTTAGAAATAAAAAGAAAAGTCAATTAACAGGTGGATTAGGGGGTGATTAGTGATTACGAGAGGGTTTAGTGTGGTGTAGTGATGTGTGGTGTGTTGGTGATTACAACATAACAGAGATTATCAAAATAACAACAAAAACCCTAAATCCCAGAAATCCCAAATCGACCCCCCCCCCCCCAAACCCTCGATCGGAGATCACTTTCTCTCCCTCGATCTGCTCCGCCGTTGCTCTTCGATCACCTTTCCCCTCCTTCGATTCTCTCAGTTATTCTTCTATGATCGTTCGCCTCTTCTCTCTTCCTACACAAATCAAACAAGAAACAAGGGATGTTAAAGGGTTAGCAAAAAGAATCTCAAGGTTCGAAAAGTGGTTCAGTCGTGGATGATTTCGATGGCGGACGGTTGAGTCTAGTGGCGGGGGAGTTTGAAAGATAAGTCCCTTGTTTTTCTTTTCACCCATTTTAGGTTTCAAAAGGATTTCTGTGGGTGTGTTGAATATTGTTGAGGGTTTACGTTTTATGAATCGTTGTTATTTCAGGTTTCCAGGTTTTGGTGTTTGGGAGCTAAGAAGTGGAGCTGGTTAAAGTCACGTGGTCGCGAGCTTGGAGGACTTGGGGTTCCTGCGTATTCTTGTTGGGGTTTGATGTTTTGTCAGTCTCTCCTCCCCTTTGTCTCAATTATTCTTCTTATAGTTGTACAGAGTCTTCCTTTCATTAATCTGTATTAAAACCATACCAAATTCAATATGAACATGTTGGTCTGATTTTGGAAAGAACTTTAAGGTTTGTCTGATTTGGGTTTGTGGCTGTTGATTATTTGATCAGGACTTTACTTCTGTTTTAAACTTGGTTTTCAATACCAATGAATGAATTGATTACATGTTTCCTTTTTCAGTTGGATTGGTTTTGGACACGAATGATAATGTTGATTTGGAGACATCTGACCGGTGCTATCTTTGGAAAACTAAGTGAAGCTGTCGTAAAACAAATCACGACAGGTTGTAGTAGTAAGTCAATGTAACCCTTCCTTCTCAATTCTCTCCTTATAAACTTTTTTCTTTTTGAGGCGTTCTTCAATTCCTGCCTTCAGATCATGGCGTCCAGAGCTAATGCCGACTGTTTTGACATCATTATGTTTTGAAACATGGAGAAACACCACTCTAGCACCTTTACTATGCCCAATGATTGCGGTCACCAAATGGTTTAATTCATGGAAATGTTGAGTTATAGCGTGTAAATCATCAGCCTCTCTCCAGTAGTAACCACACTGAAACGCACCATCACTTTCCCCATTTCTAGAAAAGTCAAAGCGGAAAGAACAGATTCCATCTTTTTCAATGCAGCAGCAAGGTTCACTACAGTATTGGATTCTCGTGTCTTCAACAGACGCCTTGCGGTCTTTTGTTGCAGATGGGGTGAAGCTTCATGCATTAGCGAATGATGAACGGTACCTGGATATAAAGCAGCAACGCAATCTTGTGTTAGTTTATAGGGAGTTTGCCATATTAATGTACTTTTCCTGGCATGAATATTTTACGGGTGTTGCGGCTTTCTTCAGAGGCGGGGCACAAAGGTCTCGTCCATTGCCTAGCTTGCCTCCTTGTTCAATGACTTTGGACGTGCTCTGAACGGTTTAACCATCTTGGGTACTTAAAGTATTTCATAGATAGAATGCATCCCTCACTTATGGTTGCTTTTCTTTGTTTCAGGATCAAAAGCAGGAAGGTTTGGTTGTCCGGTGGCGTTAAGAGGGTTATGAATATGATAGGATGCCACGGTTAGAGATCCCCAACAAGTGGTCGTAGCATTGGACGGTAGTCGTCGTAACGCGACATGGTTATGTTCAGTTCGAAAGAACATGTTTGAGACGTAGCGCCGTAGTCTTTTGAGGTATCCATTACTACCCATGATTTGCATTCCAGCTGCCGCTAACATGGCTTGGTATTATTGGTTCTGATTGTTTCCGAGTAAAGCTGGATCTAGTTTCTACTGCATCCAGGGCAACATGCCAGAAGCACCTTGAACATTAAGCGAAACGAGACCTTGGTCTGCAGGTCTGTCTCTCGTCCACATTAGACCATTTGCCATTTCATCTCCTCTCTTGAATTCTTGTACTGCAGGGTTTTTAAATAATAAATCGTCTTGAAGTGGCGGTATCATGGGGTTCTTCCAGATTTATGGCTATGTTTTGATGGGAGATGGGATTGTTATCAGGTGGGGATAAGTTGATATAATTTCATCCATTAGATATAATTAATGGCTCATTATTTTGAATACTTTCAATGGTAGCATTTCAGTGAATATGATTTCCTTCTGCTGCAGGTTTATGTTGAGGGCTGCAATCTAGCCTTTTACCTCTTTCTGAAATCTAGGGAATTGTTCTTCTATTGGAAGCTGAGAGATGTTGAAGGTGAAGAAGTTGTAATGGTTTTAGAAAAACCTGGTCTCATTACGAGGACAACCTTGCTGCCGTTTACGAAGGGAAGTTGTTTGATCTTAATGCCTTCATGAGATAAGAAAATCCTTCTCCAGGAAAAACTGGCAGAACTGATAAGGTACAAAGATTTTCTTCCTTTTTTCTAAACGAACTCGAGATTCTCCCTGTACTCTAATCCATAGCTTCTTCGGTAACATCGTCTGTATATTTGGTAAACTAATTGTTGGAGGCTTGCTTAATGAATGTGAGCTGTTGGTGTTGAGTTTTCTTCTTCAAAGTTTGTTCTGCAACCTGTTTCAATTCTAAATTCAGATTGGTGTTTTGAATTGATTCTGTTTTGCAGTAGCCATATGTGGACAGTGCGGTGCAACCGTTGAAATGACTCTTGTTCGAACACGGTGACTTTGCTCTTGGCTCTGAAATGTTCCTGAATCTCTATTGGTGTCTACCAAAAGCTGCTAACTGTATTTGTTAATCTTGCAGCTTCAAACGAGTTAGTCAGCATAAGAGGTCTGGATTGTGCGACTTTGTTCAGGAGCGGGGCACGAGAGACGCATCTGTTGTTATGTCAAAGGTTCTAAATTAAAGTGTACCTCCTTGTTAGCCAAGAAAGAAGTGTGCAGTCTCGGAGATGAGGAAATTTCTGTAAATCCTGACATTGGATTATGTTACCTTGTGTTGGATTGTGGTTCATAATTGTACTGATTCACTGTTTTTATAATTGTGAAGTCATATAGGACTTAGTTTCCAATAATGAATTTGTTGTATGTGAATATCGAGTTGCTCATATAGTGTTGTGATGATGTGGGGATCATAAATGAACCACCAGATATTATAGGTTGTGTAACATGGGTATTCAAATGGGGAGTTGTGAAGTGCCCCCCTTCCCTTTTTCTAATGTAAGGTTTATTCGCTGAGAACATGGACCTCCTGTTGTGTAGTTGTAGTCAAGTTGTAATCATTTCAACTTCTAATTTAATATTTTCTACTTCTATGACTTGTATTTCTTCAAAGCTCCAGTTTGCAATGCAGGTCACTTGATTAAATTCTTGTCTTTATGTAAGGAGTTTCGTAAATTATGTCCTTAACTACCCTTCTTGGAGAAACACAGATAAAATAAAAGCAGTGGACTAGGAAATTAGACGTCCACTCGTTGCACTGCTTGGTTGTTGAATTCCTTATCGTTATAATATTAATGCTCACAACAATCCTCTAATAATTAGCCATATGATTTGGTCATGTGCAATAGAAAAACACGAAGCGGTAATTATTTCTTCAGTCAGACCCCTGGGAAAGGCGACTTCAACACGAGCTCCTCAATAGCTTAATCAGCAACAAATATTCACTCCTTCACCATGACGTAGTTTCTTTTTCTGATGTGAACCAAATCTTATGTGATCTTATTACCTCAAAACAAATTGGTCGTAAACCACCATTAAGCACGTCCTCAATTTCCTTTTGGAAGTAACGATTCAGCCTGCGAGATAGCCCCCCATAGGAGACATAATAGGCCTCAAATGTTTGCGCCCTGAAATACTTGTCTGTATGGGTCTACACTTGTCATTGTTGCGCCTGCATCAACTGGTTAGTTATAATAAACATACATATAAAAGGCAAAAGATAAAACGAGGAGGTGGTGTTAAGAGGTAAGATCTTATGGTCAAAAATTAGGGTGCAACAGATGCCCCTATTTAAGTTACTTCTATTCGGAGATATGGAGATTGAAATCTCCGTCTCGACGAGGTAGGAGGGACTTAAATATAAACACTGCACGAATTTTTTTGGCCATAAAAAACCACCGAAAGCAAATGATATGCAATGATAGGAGAATGCAAGACATAGGGTCCCGTGGAGGAAAGAATGTCACAGGGAACAAACTAGGCATGACATAAAGGGAAGAACAGGGTTGACAACGGGTAATCCCTGCGGGGACAGGAAACAAACATCACTGGGGAATCTCCAGAAGTATAACCATATCTCATACACCGGGGATATGGTGATGGGAAAGAAGCTTGTAGTCGAAAGATATGCTTATCACCATAATGTTGTGGTTGGTAATAATCTAAATGAATTGAGTCGATGGTTCATTTGTATTTTTCTTGTTTTTCTTGTTTTTCTGTATATCTTTTCTTTTTGGAACTCAACTTGAAATAGTAAAACGTATAACTTCCCCAAGCGTCATGATAAGGGTACCACGAGCTGGTCTCAGTCTCTGCCTGAAATGTCAACAATTTTGTAGATGGTGGAATCACTGTAGTTTGTAGATGTAGATGTAAATGTCATTGTAAAATGTTGTTGTAGTTGTAGAACTTCCCCGAGCGTCATAGTCTGGAGGCTATGGGCTGGTCTCAGTTTCTGATGTAGAACTTCTCCAAGCATCATGGTATGGGAACCGTGAGCTGGTCTCAGTTTCTGCTGTAGAACTTCCCCAAGCATCATGATATGGGAACCGTGAGCTGGTCTTAGTCTCTTCCCGAAATGATGAAAACTCGTGAGAGCATCTTCACAGGGGGTTGTAAATTTTGTAGATTGTAGATGCCGTTGTGGACTGTAAATGTAGTTCGTTGGAGAACCCTGTAGATGTAGTTCGTTGGGGAACCCTGTAGATGTAGTTCGTTGTAGAATCCTGTAGTTCGTTGTATAACCCTGTAGATGTAAATGTAAATTGTAGATGTAGTTGTAAAGCTTCACCGGGGATCTTCGGGGAAATGTCACTTGACGGAAATAAACTTGTGCGATGAAACTCACTGGGGAAGTCATTCTTGAGGAATAAGTTTGTTATTGCAAAAATGTGTGAATTCTCAAATAAAGAGAAACGTCTGTAACTGTCTTCGGTAAACTTTTCTGATGGATTTATGAAGCGATGATTTGATGATGAACTGTCTTATAGAAAATGTCATTTGTCGTTTTGAATAAGATCCTGATCAAAACGAGTTGCTCAAATAAAGAGATGGATGTCCGAGAAAATCTTGTAATGCTATTGTCTTAATGAGTATTCTTCCTGGGGAATATGGCGCAAAATAAATGCACACTTAACCCATGTTCAAAGGTTGGAGATGTCCATGATGTGATCGCCAAAACCGAGGTTCAATTCGGGAAGTAGCCGAAAAGAAACTGTCAAGCAAGACTCGACCATTGAGATATGAACTCAAATGGAATTGTACTAAAATAACCATTTTCCATGAGGGTCAAACTTCATGGGGAAAATGAAACATTGTGCTTTTCCTGCCTAGGGTCGACAAATCTATTTGGAGGGATAAGACACACCCAAACACCTAGGGATAACTATAGCCAAAGTGATAGAATAAAACAAACACAAAGAATGCAAAGAAATGCACATGCTGTGCTGTCTATCTATATGATATGCGTATGCTGATGTTGACAAAAAAAGACAGAGATGAAATAAACATCTCGAGATAAACATCTCGACCAATCTTCGAAGATAGAAGTACCACCGGGGATAGATGGAGAACCAAAATATGGGATCACCATCCTGCTTCAAGGCTTCCAAACCTCTTGAATAGAGAACATTCCACCTGTGGATGTAATGTCTTGATAAGTCTGAAGGATTATCCTGTCGAAGACGAGGACAAAGATCCACTAGGGGTGGATCAAAGTCATGACTGTAAAAAAACTTCATGGATGAAATAAATATCCGCCTTACTGGAGAGACTCATGCTGGAGAAAATCGACGTTGTAGAGATCCACTAAGGAGTAGAAACACGTCCACTTCACTGGGAATGTGAAGTTGGAGAAGCAAATCACCGAGGATTAAACATCATCCACTTCATTGAGGAAATGAAGTCAAATAGATCACTGAGAATTCTGCATCAAAAAGCTTCATCGGAGAAACGTCATGACCACCAAAAATAAAATTTATCGGAGACATGAAGAATGTTGCAAGAACAAGGTAATTCTGTCTTGATGAACTGCGTAATAGTCGCCATTTGAATAATAGTTGTTGCACATGGGTAAGATAGCCTTTGTTTCTCAGATGCCCCAAGTAATATGGTCACGAGGAGAAGTCAATCTAAGAGGATTTTACAGAAAACATGGCGTCCCATTGTTTTCAAACTCTCTAGAGAGATTTGCCGAATCTCGATGTAACGGATCCTGATTGACGGTATTAGGACTGGGTCTTCAAAAATAGCTCTTTAGGCGAAGTCAAATTTGCACAGAATAACCACTTGGAAATAACTTGCCCCAGGTTAGCAGAATCTTCAAATTTTAATCGATGATGTCTGTATGTAATCTTTATGCCAATTATGCTTTTAATCAAAGAAATAAAAAGGAAATACGCATAAGCAGCTGATCACCGTAACGATGTTCCATTCACGATTGGTCT